TACACAGACTTCTCATAAAGTTCAAAGTAAATACTTCAAATATCACCGTTTTGATATAATTACATTAAATTTCCTTGAGGTTTCAATTCGCATAACCCTTCCCTTTTCATCAATAATTTATTAGTTATTTGAATAAAAAATAATATTTTATTTATTTTATATTGATATATATATATTATACATGGCTTATCATTGTGTTTTCATATCACTTATATTAGTGTCGATTCATTTAATTTTACTAAAAAGGAGGTCAGTATAATTATATTAAAACCTATATGATTACTTGTATTTTTTTCTAAATCTCATGAGATATCAATGCAATTTACCCTAAATGGTTTAAGAAGTATATTAATTTGGAATCTAAGCAACAAAAGTAAAATGAAAATAATGGTGATATAATAAAAGGAAAAAAAGCAAGTTCTAATGTTGGAAATTATTAAACAATCAGTAGTTGATCTTATCTATTGATAGGTATTAATTAACTATTTTAATGATCTCTCTTCTTTTCCTTTTTCATTTATAAATTGATGGGGATTTGAAACCCGATGACCAGGACACTCCATCCCCCATCTCAAAAGGGTTAATCTTGACTTTAAATAGTTGACTTTATTGTGTTGGGTTCACCAAACAAGTAGAAAATTAAAGTTAAAAAGAATACAAAAGGGGTAAATTATGCTTTTAAAATAATGTTATATATATTAATTAATGGTATGACATAACTTAAGAAGTTTTTAATATTTGTAATGTGATTAATGAGTAGATTCAATAATAATATTACAACTAGCGTTACTACACTAGTTATACACTAATTGGTATATGTAGCACTACTCATACTTTTATTTTTCAATTTTTATATGATTTTTATTTTTATTCTTAAGCATGGCTATTTAAGACTAAAAATTAGACCAAATTTTCAAATCTAGTAATGCGACAATCAATTAGGATATTAAAGATAACACTTTCTCTCATATTTTCTCTAATTATTAATCAATCATATTATTTACACATCATTAAATCAATAAATAGATCTAAATGATAGATATTTAAAAAAAAAAAAATTTTCTTCATTTTTTAATCTATATTTTATTATAGTCATCTCATCTGGTACATACTATTTAAACTTTTTAACTAAACTTTTTTACCAAATTAAGGTCTCGTTTGGGAACAGGTTAATTTAGTAATTTTTTGACAATTTGACGAAAATATGAGTTAAAAAAAACTAATATGTTTAGAATGATTTTTTAACTTTTTACGAAAGGATGTACAAAAAAGTAGAGAGAAAAAAGAATCTTTGATTTTTTTTGTATGAATTGTTGACTTTTTGACTTTTTTAATAACTTTTTGACTTTTTTACTAAATAGGTTAGTTTCCAAACGAGGCCTAACTGTTCAGTAATAAGAGCCATATGCCTTTTAAAAACATTAAAAAATTTATAAAGGCAAACTACAATTATCACACACATTTCGCTCTTACTCAAATCTAAATGGTGGAAGGATCGCGTTGAAATTAGGGCTGAGCAAGGAATCCGTGAAATCCGTAATCCGATCCAGTTCAGTCCAATCCGATAGGTTTGGATTGGTTTTTTGAAACCGTGGTTCGGTTCCGGGTTGAATAATTAAAAATAATTTATAAAGGCAAACTACAATTATCACACGCATTTCGCTTTTACTCAAATCTAAATGGTGGAAGGATCGCGTTGAAATGAACTAAAATTTGACTGTTAAACTGTTGCAATTAGATTATAAGGGATAAAATTGAAATTTTAATAAAATTGGAGGGTGAATAGTACAATTTACCCATATAATCAATTTAAAATTTTAATTAAAAGACAAAAGTCAACTTTTTATTTATTTTTGATGACATCACCACTTTAATTTTTTATATATTTTTTCAAAAAAACTAAATAAAATTAAAAAATCAGTTTTTAACCAATTATGGTGACATGAGTTATTAAGCATTACATAAGAACTGAAGCATTACATGGAGCATTGCATAAGAACTGAAGTTCAAGTAGTTATACTTGTAGACGTGTAGAAAATTTGAGGTTCAAATTTATAAAGAAGCATTAAACATTAGTTATGTTAATTTAATAGTCCGTTAACATTTTATCAAATGCCAATAAATAACTAAATAACTTACAAAGCATTAAAAAAAATTGGGGTATAGTTTTGTTAGTGTAATGTTTTCCATGTTCTTGATTATTAAGGTGCTTGAATCAAATTATTGAACGCAAAAGGTTGTACTTTTTTATTCTATTTTATTTTTTTATAAAGTTGTATAGATGTGGGGGTAGGGAGAGAGATGGGATTCACTTTCCCTCAGTTTGGAAAATTAATTAGAGGTATTGTTGGATTTCTGTAGGTTCATAACGAGATCTATTTTAATAATTTAAAATATTCATATCGAAAAACTTATCATTACAGGATTTATTTTAATAATTTAAAATATTCATCTAGAAAAGCTTGTTGAGAAGATCATTCTTACAAAAAATTAGATTATTTGGACAATCATAACCATATGCTTAGATCACATTTATCATAAAAAATTAAATAAATAAGCAACAAAAATAATTTTTATTACCATTTATTATTTGAAAGACAAAACAATCTAATAATGCATCTACAATATTCTGATTAATTTAATTTTTTACAATGACAATCTTCTTAACGAGCTATTTGATATAAACGATTAAAATCATCAATGTAAATTTTATGATAAATTCACATAAACCCAACAACATCTCTAATCGATTTTTCCAACCAGAGGAAATGCTTTTTTGCAATCAAAAAAATAAAAATAAATATGTTGCTTTTTGCAATATGATTGTTGTCATTTACAAGTCAAAACATTTGCGGAAGATCTATTTGACAAATAATAGTTGTACTTTTCATAACCCTTTCCTAGGAGAAAAATTGATAGGGCTTTAATAGAAGGTGGTCCACATCTTCATTAACACAAATAATATACTATTATTTATGAAGCAAGCCCCTATTCCCATCGGGACCAACCTTTGGGTAGGGCTTCAATTTGCAAAAAAGCAATTGCAATATATCATGAAAAGAAATAATCAATACTTGTTTTTGAGATTTTAGATCTCAATTTCTTCGCTATAGATCTATATGTATATTTGATTTGTTTGACAGTATGCTTGGTTAGTGTTTTTCAAAAACTCTTTTCAGAAAATTCTTATTTTCTTATTTTTCGTATTTTTTTGTTTTTACTAATTTTTTTTAATATTTTAAGTAATTTTTTTTACTTTTTAGACATACCTAACATAAATATACTTAAAAAGTAAAAAATTTGTGAAAGAAACCTTTTAAAAATTTACTAAATACCAAAAATATAAAAAAAAAATACGAGAATTTCGTACATATTTTGTATTTTTATGTATTTATTAATTTTTTAAAATATTTTTCACAAATTTTTTACTTTTTAGATACATCTAAGTAAGGTGCATCTAAAAAAGTAAAAAAGTGTTTAAAATTTTAAAAATATTCACTAAAAACAAAAAGCACAAAAACCAAAAAATTCAATTTTCAAAAAACTTAATTCAAAAAACTCAAACCAAACACACTAATTATAATTATTATTCAAAATTAAAAGTAGGTTTCACCAACAAATCTTAAAAGTATCCATCCATATACCTTTGTGGCTGATTTTATACTTGATTTTTGTATTTCCAACATTATTGAAATTGTAAAGCTCAATCATTTTATATTATTTTTCTTGGTTAATTACACCAAAATTACTTTAATTATTAGCGAATATTAGTTTACCGCTCCTTGTTTATGAATTTATATACTTTTACTCCCAACTATAAAACCAGTACAAATGGTATTTCATTTATTTATTTATTTTAAGATAGGCAAATGCCATTCTTTTTAAGAGGTGAAAATATTGCATTTTTATAGTTGAAGAATAAAAATATACGAGTTTAAAGATGAGTAGAATCATTAATAGTTGAGAAGCTTTGATGTAATTATTTTTTTTTTATTTTCTATTTTTTATTTTTTTATTTTAAGGAACCTCTATATTGGAGTTTGAACTCATACCCACGACAATATAAATTTTAAAAGAAAAATTACAATTATGTGATTTTTTTTAAAAAGTAAGTGTATATAAAAAAAATTTAAGATTTTAATCATTCTATTTTTTGTAAAGTTTATCACTAATATAACTTCTTCTTTTTTCTTTTTTTTTTTTTTTGTTAAACTCACATTAAATAGTAATTTTCTAATTTTAAATACATGCAATGACTTGTAAATTATATATGAATTAAGCTGAACTTAAAATATTTAAATTTCTGATTAATCCCAAGGCAAATCTAATACATCCATAACTGATTGATGGCAAGGGATTGGGTTGAATTTTGTGCGTGATTTTTTTCCGCGTTATACTAGGAACTCTAAATATTCTATAAAACCTCTTATATGGTGTGAAATTCACACACATGTAAATTTGTGTGAATCCCATCAACTTTAGTAAAATATTTGATAGAATATTTAGAATACATAACATTTCTCTTTTTTTACTATTAAACTTAATTATTTTAATGATATAATTTTATATTTTATTATAAATTGACAGTTTTAATATAGTATTTATCACTATATTTTACCTTACCTAATTAATGTTTTCTCAAATCATTTATATTAAAATCGAGTTAGAACAAATCCAATCAGGTCAAAAAATTTTGCCATCCTCACAAATAGGGCTAAAATGTGAAACCAAGAACCAAAGTGGAGCAAACTATATATTCAAACAACATGAAGGGGTGCAAGTGCAATTATAAAATAGTATACTCCTCCGTTCTCTCTTTCCTGGAAAATCATTTTTCATTCTTTAGTAATTTTGTTCTGAGGAAAATGCATTGAAACTATTATTCAAAATTGCTGATCTAATCTCAACCGTAAATCACCAAAAAAAGATCCAACGGCTGATACGAACTTTCACACATCTTCTCTCTCGTCGTTCTCGCTACAGGGACAGAGAGAACACAATAAATACATACACACACACATATAGAGAGAGAGAGAGAGAGATAGCGAAGGTAACTGGATCTAGATCTTCGCCAATTTGTTTGATTCTCTTCTCTGGTTCTGGTAAATGCGATAATGGTGATTCGAAGACCTCCTCTATCATTACATCTATGGATCTCCGTTTCTCTTCTTTTCTTCATCCATGCCCACTCCTTTTATCTCCCCGGTGTCGCTCCCCAAGATTTCCAGAAGGTAATTAATTATGTTATGTTAGTGTTTGTGTGGATTTATTGTTAGATCTGCTTGATTATGTGGTTTGAATCAACAGTTAGCCTTTTCGTTCTCAGATCTGTCTCAGTTTGTGGCCTTTTGGATCTGACGAGAATCGATTTTGACTTGATTTTGTGAAAATTTGATTTTTTTTTTTTTTTTCCTGTTCGGTGCATGGAGATCGATTCGATCACTGATTGTTGTAGCTCTGAAATTGATGAATTTGTGTGTGTGTGTGTATTTTGACTTGATTTTGTGAAAATTTGATTTTTTTTTTTTTTTTTCCTGTTCGGTGCATGGAGATCGATTCGATCACTGATTGTTGTAGCTCTGAAATTGATGGATTTGTGTGTGTGTGTGTGTGTGTGTGTGTTTTTTTTTTCTCTCGTTTTTATCTACTTGTTTAATTGCTTATTATTAAGATTAGTGTCTGTCTATATATTTGTATTTTAGTTTTTATGTTTTTTTATATTAAATAGATATTAATATATGTAAGGCATATCTATTGTTAGGTAGATTGGAATAAATTAATAATAATATAGTTTTTTGATCAAGGATTGGTTGAATGGTAAAGATTTGAGATAAGATCCAATTTTTCGAGTCACTCTAAGGGGCAATTTGGAGGTTTGCTTTGTCGTTAATTTCATGGCCCGGGATTAGTTGAGTTGCCCCGTAAGCTGGCTCGGATACCTGGTTATAGAAAAGAAACGTCTCTTGTCTAGCATATCTAAGAATTCACTATGGGTGATTGATTTGAAAAATTGCACTTAAACATGTTTGAATGTGGGTTCTAAATGTTGGATCATATGGTGAAAAGTCTGGCAAATGTGCTTTGTGGTAGATCATGTACTAGCTGAGGCTTGTTTGCTGTAGGAAGCTAACTCTGTCCCTTAACTATGGAAATAATGCATTAAGCTGTGCTATCATGCCAAATTTTGGCTAATTGGAACCACATCTCTGAAAGAGGAAGAAGAAGAAGATAGTAATATTCCAGGGATTTATCAAAAAAAAATAAAATAAATACTGATCTACGATACCAATATTCCAGGAATTTATCAAAAGAAGAAGAAGAAGAAGAAGATAGTAATATTCCCGAAATTTGGATGCATTTAACCTTAAAACATGGAAGGTGTGTGGACTGAAATTTAGTTATGACTTATGGGATTCATTGGTACTGAAGCTATTACGGTAGTTGTCAAATAATAATAATAAATACTGCAGCTATCTTAGTGGCTTGCTGATAAATAAAATAAAAAATTCAGTGGCTTGGGTGGTTACTCTATAATTTATTTTCCTTTTTGATATATATGATGTATGGAGTTATATTATATATATATATATATATATATATCTGAGTGTATATAGGGTTTCGATCTAGGGTTTTCTAGGGTTTCGATCTAAGTGTATATATATATTTCGATCTAGGGTTTTCTTCAACCTCTGTTTTTTTTTTCCTCTAAATTTATTTATTATATATATATATATAAATAACATTTCTGTAAAGAAAGAGTGATTTGTGTGGGGCCCACTCAATTTTGTTGCACAGTATCGCTTTTTCCTATGTGTCTACGTGATGGATACATGTGTCTTCCAAGTGTCCGAAATGTGTCTAGTTTTAAAAAAATTAAAAATGAGACATGTTTGGACCAATGTTTTAAAAATTGGACCATTGAGTGGAAATGGGATTGGGTTGATGGGTTACTACAAGTTCAAATTGGGTCGAACCGGATCAAACCATGACATCATAATTACTTAATAAATATATTAAAAATTATAATTAAATAAATATATATAAATATAAAATGTAAATTATATATTTATTTAAATATGCTTACCAAATATATAAGTTTAAACATTTATTTTTATATTAATATTATTTGTATAAGTGTTAATTATAGTAATATATGAAAGAAAATGAATGGAATACAATAAATAAAATATTTCTACTATTATTTAACAAGGGGAACAGCGGGTTCCGCCAGTTTAATGAAAAAGGCCGGTTTTCAAACTAGAACGGGTTTATGGGTGTATCTGGACCGGAACTTAGAACGGTCAACTGGTTGAATCGGCCGGTCCGGTCCAATTTTGAAATCATTGGTTTGGACGCATGCACGGAGTGTCTCATGAATCAACACCTTTTTGGAAGTGTCTGAGCTTCTTAGTGGGTGTTTGAGAAGTGGCTATTTTTAGGCTTTTTGACTTTTTTAGTAGGCTATTTTAGTTTTTGTGTTTGGGAAGATAGGATAGATTTTTATTGGAGTTGTATTAAAAAATATATTTGAAATAATGTTTGAGGCTGAAATGACAATTTTGTCCCTAACTTCACTTTTTTCAAAATTAGTCTAAAGGGGCAAAATCGCCATTTACCAACAATGGGACAACCTGTCAATGTGACAGCCCCACTGCCGAGCTACTTTCTGCTCTCTTTTTTCTTCTTCTTCTTCTTCTTCTTTTTTTTTTTTTTAATTTTTTTTAAATATAAATCATTAGTTTAGGGGCTATTTGGCTTTTTTTGTTTTTGAGGATATTTTAGCCTCAAACTTAGGTTCCCAAACACCCCCTTAGTATGCAGGTTTTTTTGTTTAGTGACATCAATGATGGGTTTTCTGGATGCATAAACCAGTACCATATAGATCTTGCACGATTTTTAGGTTTCATGAGGTATTAATTGCCAATTAAGATATTATGATGTCCCATGTCTTTTGACAGCTTTTGATGGTGTTTGGGAAGTGAGTTTTTATGTAGATTTTATTAGATGTAGGTTTTTATGAGATAAAAAATTTTTGGTGTTTGGGAAGATAGTTGGGTTTTTATGTGATTGGATGTGATGTTTGTGAGAGAAAAAGTGAAATGATTATGGGGTTGGATGTGATATTTTGTTTGGATGTGTTTTTTTTGGTTTTGCAAAACTTTTGTCTTTTAGTGGAAAAAATGAGAAAAAAATTTGGGAACTTGCTTCCCAAACACCACCGTAATAACCTTTGTCAAAGACAATATTAAGTTTTATGTCTATTTGTTACAGGGGGATCCTTTGAAGGTGAAAGTGAACAAACTGACTTCTACGAAGACGCAGCTTCCTTATTCTTTCTATTCCCTTCCTTACTGCAAGCCAGAAAAAATTGTTGACAGTGCCGAAAATCTGGGTGAAGTTCTCCGTGGTGATCGTATTGAGAACTCTCCTTTTGTGGTTAGCTGCAATTCTCAGATAGTTTTTTTTTTTTTTTTGTGTGCGCGCGCGCGCGCCCCTATTAAGTATGTGTTGTTGAAGTTCTTACCGAAGTTGTATATTGCAGTTTAAAATGCGAGAACCTCAAATGTGCAAAGTTGTATGTCGGGTAGTACTTAATGCCAAAACTGCAAAGGAATTTAAGGAAAAGATAGATGATGAATATCGGGTGAACATGTGAGGCTCCTTCTGAGGAAATGTTAAATATGAATTAAATTGCTTTTGAATTTTGTAGTTATTGCTTAAATTTGTTTCTCATTCTTGTTGCATTTTGTAGGATTTTGGATAATCTTCCTCTGGTTGTTCCCATTCGAAGGCTGGATCAGGAATCATCCATTGTGTATCAACATGGCTATCATGTTGGTATCAAAGGACAATATGCTGGAGTAAGTAGCAAACCAACAATTACATTTGCCCACAATTTTCTTCAAATTTTGTACTCTGAATAATGTCTAAGATGATAATTTATTTTAACATTACTATTTTCAGAGCAAGGAGGAAAAGTACTTTATCCATAACCACTTGACATTCACGGTGAAGTTTCACAAGGACCCACAAACAGAGACTGCAAGGATCGTAGGTTTTGAAGTCAAGCCATTCAGGTTATACATCATAGTTCCCTTCTATTAGTGTTAGCTTTGTTGGTGCTAATATCTCCTCTAGTGATTGCTTCTAATGTTGGATCATTTTGGTGCCACCAGTGCCAAGCATGAATATGAAGGCCAATGGAGTGACAAGACTCGTTTAACAACATGTGACCCCCATGCAAAGCGCACAATTACCAACTCAGAATCTCCTCAAGAGGTTGACAATAAGAAGGAAATTATTTTCACATATGATGTTGAGTTTCAAGTAAGCTCCTTCTTCTTATTCATAATAAAGAATTCAAAACCTTGCTATTAATGTTTTGAGTTGGTATTCTGATGGGTTTTGTTATTATACTTGTTTTGCCTTGTCTTCTACTATGCAGGAAAGTGACGTGAAGTGGGCATATCGATGGGATACCTATCTTCTGATGGCTGATGATCAAATTCACTGGTTTTCAATTGTCAATTCGTTGATGATTGTTCTTTTCCTTTCGGGCATGGTGGCTATGATAATGCTGAGGACACTGTACCGTGATATCTCGAAGTACAACCAGTTGGAGACCCAGGAAGAAGCCCAAGAAGAGACAGGATGGAAACTGGTTCATGGGGATGTTTTCAGACCCCCCGAGAACTCTGATCTTCTATGTGTTTATGTTGGGACAGGTGTTCAATTTTTCGGGATGATACTCGTCACTATGATGTTTGCTGTCCTCGGGTTTCTATCTCCTTCAAATAGAGGTGGGTTGATGACGGCCATGCTTCTTCTGTGGGTCTTCATGGGCCTTTTTGCTGGATACGCTTCTGCCCGCCTCTACAAGATGTTTAAAGGAACAGAATGGAAGAAAATCACCCTGAGAACAGCTTTCATGTTCCCCGCATCTGTCTTTGCCATATTCTTTGTCTTGAACGCTTTGATTTGGGGAGAGAAATCTTCCGGGGCAGTCCCATTCGGAACAATGTTTGCTCTGGTCGTTCTATGGTTTGGTATCTCTGTCCCACTCGTTTTCGTGGGTAGTTATGTCGGGTTTAAGAAACCAGCAATGGAAGATCCTGTAAAAACTAACAAAATCCCGAGGCAAATACCTGAACAGGCCTGGTACATGAACCCAGTTTTCTCTATCCTCATCGGGGGCATACTTCCATTTGGAGCTGTATTTATCGAGCTCTTTTTCATCCTCACATCGATCTGGTTGCAGCAATTCTACTACATTTTTGGGTTCCTCTTCATTGTCTTCATCATCCTAATTGTCACTTGTGCTGAGATCACTATCGTGCTCTGCTACTTCCAACTATGCAGCGAGGACTACCTTTGGTGGTGGAGATCATACCTAACTTCAGGATCGTCAGCGCTATACCTGTTCCTATATTCGGCTTTCTATTTCTTCACAAAGCTCGAGATTACAAAGCCGGTATCGGGCGTCTTGTACTTCGGTTACATGTTGATTGTCTCGTACGCGTTCTTCGTGCTTACAGGTACGATTGGTTTCTATGCATGTTTCTGGTTCACAAGGCTCATCTACTCATCGGTCAAGATTGATTGAAGCGATGATTGCAACACGAAAACCACATGGAACCATATATTCTTCTTCCAAGTTACTTGTGGAATTTTCAGTTTTTAAATCTTAAAAATCATAGAAATTGTTTTTTCTTTTTAACCTTCTTGATACAGGTTCTTTGAAGTACAAGTTCTCTTTTCTTTATCTTTTTGCTTCACTGTTCTGTATTGAGACATTCTGAGAGGATTCTCAAGCAATACCGGTCCTCTGTGACTCGTGCCTATTTTAGAAATGAAGGAATTTTTGTATTATCATTTATTTTTTGGCTTGTATTATTCCTTGATGTGTTCTTGTATGATCCATGTACTTTTTATCTACAAGTATCGACCTATGGGAACAAGAAGATTTAAGAGAAAATATCACTTCAGTGGAATTTAGGGAACATAACATAATTGCATATTAGTGAAAAACCTTGCAATATTAAAAAAATAAATCTATAAATTTTTCCATGAAGTTGAGATTTTATGAAATTTCCATTGAAATGTTATTTTTTCAAGATTTAATTTGAAATATCGGCAGATTCCTGTGAAGTCGGAAAAAAATGAAATAAAAAAGAAAAAAAAGGTCAATTGGTTCAATGTCATCTCTATCAAATTTTATTTGGTGTGGCTCGATAACTAAAATAAACGGGAAGAGTCAGTCTTGTGTATCGGATTTATTTATCAGAAAGTTTTATACCACTTTATTACTGTAAAAATAGTTTTTAAAAAAGGTGAATTGTATTCACTTCTTTTGAAATTTGCAAAAAAAAAAATATAATAAATTCTATCGTTTTAATATAATTACATTGATATCTTCTGTAGCAAACTTAAAGTGATCAAAAGATAATGTGAAAATACAAGAATAACAAAGAAAAAAATATAGTATTTTAATATAAAAGTTACGACTATTATTTTTCTTCTTAATAATTAATGAATTATTGATGAAAATAAAATCAAATGTTATGCGAATTATATTAAAATTATAAGATTTATTATATTTTCTCCAAATTTCAATAGAGACTGGTGTAATTTATTTTTTTAAAAATATAATTTAACTATTTACACTTAACACATCATAACTCAATATAAACGGATACAAATAAATTAAACACAAATCAAGACTGACAAATAAAGTTAAAATGTCCTAATAATTTATCACTTAGATAAATTTACCAGTATCATTACCATAACCATCATTACTATAACCAATACCAAATGATTATTTTACAAACCCTAAACACATCTAAAAGTTCGAAAAAAAATTTATATATCTTTAAAAATAATTACAATTAAGGAGAAGAAAAATGTGTCATCCACACAATCCCCACAAATGAAGTGACAAGCAAAATTTCAAAAGTTGACCCACACTCCAATTGGTTGTCACCTCATTTGTGAGGACTGTGAAGAAGAAATTATGTGGATATAGCACTGTTAATGAGAAAGTTTATAATTTTAATTATTAATATTTATAATTTTTATCACTTTTTTGTAATTATTTTTTCTGAAATCCACTGTTGAGTAATTTGTCCTAAAATTTACTCAGGACTTGTGAGTAAAATGAATATAAACATACCTTAACATCCAGTTGATGTTGTAGAATGTACAATGAAAAATGACGTAGAAATACGAGCATAATATATAAATTATAATTATACAAATTCATTTTTTTGACAAACCTTAACCATGATACATACTAGTGTATGGTGTACATTTTTCTTTGCCCTTCTTCAAGCATAGAGTAGAAATCAGGATAGCAATAACAGTAATCATCATCAAATTCAGATTCAAAATTAATCAGGCATCATCAGCAGTGAAATCAGGCTCCGGAGGCTTCTGTAATTTCACCAGCTCCCTCGCGCTCTTAAGAATCCGATTCCTGTGGACCCCGCGAAGCGCATTAGCCGCAAATCTAGAAGCCAACAAGGTAGCACCAAGGCTATATGAACCTCCTCCACCAGCATTCCTGTGAAGTTCCTCTTCTTCCTCCTTCCGGCGAAGTTCCATAATTTTCCTCTTTGAATACCGCCGCCACCATACTTGGATAAAGCAAGCGGCCCATGTCCTCCACTGCTGCGAGTAAAAACGGAACGTGTGCTGAACTTGTCTACTGTGAAGCCGCCTGAACTGACCAGCCACAAATTTCAACTCATCGGCTATTAGTGCAAATGCCTCCACCTCGTTCAAAGCCTTTACTGTTCGAGTTGAAGTTGGTAAGTTAGAACCAGATTTGGGGTCCAGTGCCCAGGTCAGAAGCTCCTCTCCACAGAAATCGCCTTCTTTCAACAAACTTCGGTTGAAAAATCCACTTCTTCCACCATCAGTGGTTACACTCTCTAGGCGACCACGTATGATGAAAAGCATCTCATCAACTGGATCTCCTTCTCGAACTATATAGGTGTGCTCTGTGTATAAACATGGCTTTAGTCGCTCACAAATGGCATCGAGCAACCTTTCATCCATGTTCTCAAATAGAGGAACCTACAATTCCACAAAGACATTGATTGATTGACATAGCAAAGGAACTACCATAGTACCAAATCAATCTCGCAAATGGGTGTGATTGTAGCAAAATTGTTAGATCATAGCTATTGTTCTACAATTTCAAAAAACGAAAATGCTAAAAACAGTCCTAGGGTTATTAGCGTTGGAGAATGTGTAAAAAATGTATTGAAATGTGTAAAAATATGTAAAACTATCTTGGGACATGTAAAAAGTGTATTGGATTATACATATTTTGACATTTTTGTGTTTTTTAAGGTGTCATTAGTAGAACCCTTCTTAAGGCTGTTATTAGCAGAACCCTAAATTTTTAGGACGAAGTAAGGCAGGAGTACAGCATTATAGTGAGGTGTTGGAGCTTGGAGGTTTTGCCTAAAGAGACTTGGCAAGCGCCACACGAGACGTTATGCTTATTCTCTAGTTATTTCCATGAATTTAAGGAGAAAATGATGAAAATCCAAAATGAATCCAATAGAATGGATTGTCCACATTTTTGCAATTCAATTTTTTTCCTGTCATGTCACATCTCCTCAGCATAATGGCAAACACCAAGTATTTATAAGTAGGAATGTAATCGGTTCGGGTGGTCGGTATTTAGGTAAAATTTTGTACTGAACCGATAATGTCGGTTTTATTATATTGAAAACCGATACAGACCAAATTTTTTACCAAACCGCACCGATTCAAATGATTCGGCTCACTGTGGTTTAATCGGTTTAAGTACTTTCAAAATGAGTCGTTTCTTAAATTTGTAGTATAATAAATAATTTATATAAAAATATTAAATTAGCCATTTGTACATAATTTTAACCATATCCAATCCAACTATTCACAAAAATACAAACAAAAAAAATTAATAAATACTATTGCTTGAAGCTTTTACTGAATTAGAATTAGAAATAAAATATAATTTAAGAACCAAAGTCTTAACATCAAAATAAAACCAAAACTTAAAACAATAATTTTATTATATGTAAACATCTACGGTCGGTTTTGGTGAAATTAGTGTACAATATGTCAAAACCGGTACCGAAACGAAAATTGAAAAAAAATAATTTTCAAAACCAAATAGACCAATTCATATTAAAATACCAACCAAATATGACCGGTTCGATTTGGTTCAATCAGTTTAGCCGATTTTTTCAATTTTTCTTACATTCTTATTTATAAGAAACAAATGGAACAGGACATAAACTTATTGTAGCCTTATTCCAACTACTTCCAACTATGCAAAAATTAGAAAAATTCAGCACATAAATGAGCAAGGAAATTTTTTTTTTTACTTTTCTTATGTTCCTCTATCATTTGAGAAATTTGAAAATCCTGAACATTTTTTAGATTTATAAGAATGTGTACACCATTTATATCTGTGTGGAAAACTGGGTGGATATATGCTCAGTGCAAAGTTTGATATTACAATGCAAAAAATATACGGAAGACCATGGCGGGCCGTACCAATTAATTAATCAATCCAACCATTGCTATTATAGATGCAAATAGTCGTAATTATCAGAAACAAACACAGTAGAGGAAAAATGAAATTACCCTCTTCACCAAAGCCAGACAGAGATGTCGTTTGATGTCCCTTCTAAGATCCTTGGGTAGACTCTGAACTATGTTATGTTCGTCCACTCCACGTGTTTCCAACCACTTGTACTGATCATAGCGTCTTACACGTTCCCTGAGATCTTGGGGGAGCAAGCGATGATGCATCCACTGCTCTGAATCACGTCTTTTGATTCTCATCTCCTCGAGTCGAATTGTAAGAGATTGAAGATACGTCTGTAACAATAGACAACAATCAGAATCGAAGCATGAAGCCACTAACACTGTTATTCTGCTTAAGTTACTAAAGTTTATTTTCCTCCATGGTAAGAAATAAACAAAAAATTATCATTAATGATACATTGTTAACTAAAGTCACAATTTAAAGCATTCAGAAAATATTTCACCTCAACAATACCCATTTTTCAATTGAAGAAATCAAAACTACAGAAAATAGCCTTCAGTTGGAAACAAAGATAATATAGGAAGCTAAGGAGGACCTCTCCACAGCAAGGAAAAAGAAGGTAAGGAGAGAGAAAAGGTTGGAATGTAGACACAAGGCCACTGAAGAAGTTCAAAGAAAAGGAGAAAAATCTGGAGTGACAGAAATGTTAGCTGATGGCTTCGCTAACACCATCTACATCTGTTGGTCAATGCTCATTTGTGGAGATTGAAAGAACAGTCGAGATGATAGGAAAAATAAAAAATAAAATAAAATAAAAAAACTTGAAATATACTAATATTTAGCAGCAGAACCATGAAAGATATAAAAATTTTGGATTTTTTAAATGTAAGATCCATCTGCAGGGAGGAAACCAGATCCTCAAAGTATGAAAGGTCTTATGTCACAACGTCATGATACCACATATTTATCACACATCACCTTGACTAAACTCTATTAATGTCAAAACAATAAAGTGACAACGATTTACTGAAAGAGTGAGTATTATAGTTCTAGTTTTACCTGCATGTTTCCAATCAATAAAGCAAAGAGGATGAGCCCAAATATTGCTAGTGCTATGGAGAATATAGACTCTCCAGGATAGGTGCTGGTTTGAAGTCCCTGACCAAGTGTACTGTAGAAAGAAAAAAGAAAATGTGGATGAGGGCAACAAACATGTTAGAAATAAGCAGTTTTAATTATTGCGAGATGCAGATGAGGGAAATAAACATTCAGCAATGTCAAATAAATATCTGCCAGAGATGAAGGTAGGAATACAATGAACCATACACTACCTAAGATTTCTATGCTTTAAGGCACATCCAATACTCCTTACAAACTAAAATTGACAAACACAGGTAGAAAGATTATGTATCATCTTGAGCAAAGAACCCTGAATACATACAAGTTCTGAGTAGTCAATAAAACTTGTAATTAACAACTGTCGTAGTAGTTGTATTGTACATTAGCTCACATATAATTAAAATATATAGACCTTTGTTTCCCAACTTGGAAATAGTTTCTGTCCACATAGAACTCCAGACACAGACATAAGAAATACGAAAGTACCAATTTTTAATTTACAAAATAAAAATTGATGAGGATCAAAGCTTAGTTGCACAAAGTGAGGGTGAGGACACATTGAAGAATCTGAGATTTGGAGGATGAGGCCACATAGAAGATTTAGAGGCTACTCAAAAGACCAAGATATCAAGAAGAAGAGAAAAGAAATGGAGAAGGGCATGTGCATACAAAGCCATAGCCTTTGGATCTTCCAGTGGTCTTGTCAGTGATGACAACAGCCTCCCAGCTCTCACCAAACTGTTCAAAGTATTTCTTCATGGTCTCCTACTGGGTCCCCTACTGGGTCTCCCAAGCCAATCCTCCAACAAACACTTTGGTGCAAGTGGTGTCTCCAAACTGTGCTGACAAATTAGCTGGAGTCATCTTCTCAATTTTCCTCTCCTAGCTATTATCTGCCTCTTTTATGATCTCTCACTTCCACTTCTCTTTATCTACAAAGATAGAGAGAAGAGAAGGATAGAGCTTACACACAACTTTGCTGCATATGGTCCTCCTTGCAGATTAGATGATGACCACTAGCTAGTACTATTTGTATGTATAAAATATATAGATCTATATATATGGAACAAGATGAGATATACTAAGACTGAGATTGAGACAGAGAAATCTCAACTAGATTGAGAAAGAGAGAGAAGAAGGTGGTGGTGATGGTGGTGGTGATCAGACAATTACGCCAGAGATCCAGGGAGGGTAGAAAAAGAAAAGAAAGGGGAGAGAGAGAGAGAGAAAAGAATGGGAGGGAAGAGAAAGCATAAGGCAGAAAAAAAAAGAGTAAAGATAACAGTGTATATCTCTCTCTCTCTCTCTCTCTCTCTCGGGTCAGCCAGTGTACACTACCACATTGAAACGGTTAAACATAATCATAATAAATTCTCATTACAAACTTGACAACGTATATATCTTTCTCTCTCTCTCTCGGGTCAGCCAGTGTACACTTCCATAGTACCATTGAAACAGTTAAACATAAGCATAATAAATTCTCATTACAAACGTAACAACTCATCATTAATAGTATATATCTTTACTCCTCAATCCTAACATAAACCAAATTGAAAGATTTATCAAAAAATCCCCATCTGTTAATTTCTAAGAGAAAAGTCAAAATCTAGGATAAATATTCGCTTTCCACAGATTTTGTTTTTATCTTAGTAGCTTTTCTTCATTTGTTTGAGCAGTCCTTTCCGGTTGGAATCATGATTCTATCCTGATGGGAATGCGTTTCTAACTCGATTCTTTCCCTGAACTACGGCTAGAGCAGAAATAACAGCTCTAGTAAGCAATTCCTGCAACTACAGATCAAAGGTTAGAGTCGGCATCAACTACACTATGACTTGTTTCATCATATGTTATTGCAATCATGTTTTAGGTGGACGCATCACGGGTTCAGGAAAGCAAAGTGATGGAAATTGATGCACCTAGTTGAAGAAGGATGTGTGAGCAGATGATTTTCAATTGATGTAATTTAATGAGAAGTCCTATTATGAGTTTTATTGAATGTATTATTTCTTTTAGGATCTTTAAGTGATTTTAGGAACAAGATTTGATGTTTTATCCATTACCATATGGAAGGATGAGTTTTAAGCAACTTTTTGCAAACTTTTAGGAATTTATGAAGCCTACAAATGGGCATTATTAGTGAAAATAAATCAACACTTTGAATATGAAAAAAAATTGAGAAAATATTTTGGAACAATCTCTCTTTCTTTCCTCCACCTCCAACTCATCACTCTCTCTTCTTCATCTCACTTATGGTATTCTTATCTTGTCTCTCTTCATCTTCTTCCCTATCTCTTTTCTTCTCACTTCTCCTATGTCCCTCTTCGTATGTTATAAATGAGGATTGGAATACATGTTGTGCCCTCCCTTTCTTCTTTTTTAATCTCTCTTTCTTCTCTATCTCTATCTTTACATATATGAACATATGAATGCCCACAAGATTGGATAACGAATAGGAACCAACATATCGATATCACATGACTGGCAAGACTTGAAACAAAAGGCAAGATAAACCAAAAATGGCAAATTGTAGAATACAACCAGAAAACTAAGAGCTCAGGCCCATTCAAATATATAAAGTACCATACCAAATTTGTCCTTACAATCTATAATAGCCCATACTTAATAAACAAAAACCACCCAAGAAAAACCGACCTAGTAGATAGCTAGTAACCACATTTTGAAGGCTCTAAACTTCTAAAATATTTTGCCACATACTAATACTTATGTTTAATAAATAAAAGAAACTACAAATAGACAAACTAAATATGAATGTTCAAGTACTGCAATCTGACGTGGCATTGCCTATATTAACAGATTAAATTTATACACTTTGCCAATCACCTACAATATTTCATAAAAACAGAAGAAATCATTAAGTTAGAAGGGAAACATGAGAGACATAGAAGAATAAAATAATCACCCTCCATTTGTTAGGATAATGGGACACACACACACACACACATATATATGACAATCATCACCAAATTTTTAAGGATGACAAGAGATTGTAGGATGACTCTCTATCTCTCTCTCTCTCTCTCACACACACATTGTCTCACTGGAACAATTCATAATTAACTAATTTAATAGTATGTTGACTTGATGACAATATTTTGACCATCTTTCCAATGTAATCAAACATGCTCTCATCACCTAACCATAGGTTTTCCAGGCATATGTTGGAACTTTGCATAAAGGTATATCACAGAAGCACACAAATTTTCAAGTGGTTTTGAATTCTAATTAAAATATCAATCACTTGTTTCTTGCCTCAACTAGGGCAAGAAAATCCACCACCCACCAACAGAGTGTATACATTGATAAGCTATGGATTGCATCTTCCAAAGTGTGATTTTTAATCTCGTTGTTACTACAAACACAATAAAAAAGGTGGAGCCTTAAACTATGATGAGTATATTAATGGTGAGGACAAGAGAATGCTAGTGAAAGAAGATGAGATTAAAGTACAATGGAGGAGTCATTTCAAAAGCTATTTCATGAGATCACTTTGGGGTATAAGTTTAGGAGATCAAAAATGAGTCATTTAGGTTGGCTGACTTGTTTAACAAGATTTTAATAAAATTAAGAAGATGTTAGTTTAAATGAAGGAAAAACACATTGTGCCCATTCATAAGAACAGAGGTGATATTAAAAGTTGCAATAACTGAAGTGGTATGAAGCTTAAGATTCATATAATCAAACATTAGGAGACAATAGTTGAGCTTCTTCTTGTTCTTTTTCTTTTTTCGAAAGGTAATGATTGAGCGAAGATTAAGGCAAGAGAAAATAGTTTTTGGAATGTTAATTTAGTTTTATACCTAGAAGATCTTGTGAGAATATTATGTTAATTATGGAAATATTTTAGATTGATTGTGTGAATATTAGATTGATTGTATAAGGTTATTCTTATTTCCTTTTTAAATTAGGTCTAGGATTGCTATAGATATCGGTTGTACTCTTTGTATTATACACAATTGAATATACAGAACATATTCAAAAAACTTACATGGTATCAGAGCTAGGTTCGAAACCCTAGCAGCCACTGTCCAAGCTTCTCTGCTTCGTTGAGTTCTTTGGTTCAACCTTATGAATTCGTGCGACCTATTTGGTTCAAGATTGGGTTTAGTTCGTTGGGTCCTCTGTTTGAGTCGTCGTCTGATTCGCGTGGGTTCTCCAGTCTGGTTCGTAACTCCTCTGCTTTCGACATCTTTGGTTCATCCAACATATCTGGACCTCGTGATTTCTGGCTCTAGTTCGTCGTCGTCGTGGTTCGTCTTCGCTAGTCGAAGGGCCATCCATCTTGACCCCTCATTGGTTTGTGACCTTTAGTCGGATCTCCTCTTACTACTGGTCTTCTCTCTCCTTTGATTTCATCGACTTAGGGTTCGTCAACTAGTTCTCATGAGTGATCCTTGTTCACTGGTCCTCTATGCACCGAAGTTCCTTCTTTCTTCTACTCTGGAATCGCAACCCATCGTGAGCTCTCTGGTTCAATTTGGTTTTGAAATTGCAACATCAGGCTGCACTCTCTCTCTCTCTTGTTCGACTGGTTCATCGAGTCCTCTAGGTTGTCGGGTCATCTGATTTGATTTGGTTACTTTGGTCTACTTTGGGTTTATTACACTTGAACCCCTTAAAAGTCTAGTTATTACGTGTCTCTAGCTGTTGATGAGTGTGTTGTCTGCCATCAGAGAGCCATTGGAAGTCTCACTGTCCCAAAAAGGGCCATTCATCTGCTTCGCAGTCTCAGCCACACTTCCGAGCTCTTACTCAAAGTACTTTTTAGACTCCAGCCGTTTATACTGCATCTGTTCCGTCTCTTGATCTTGACTCAACTCCTTAAGTGCTCAGATTGGTCAACTTTAGCATTGTCTACCTCCCAACCATCTTCGTCTACCTCCATTGTTTCCTCTCTTTATTCAGGTTTGCTTGGGTCTTTTTCAGGTATCTCTTCGTCTGCCTGGATTTTTTATTCTGGTGTCTCTCATCATATGACTCCTCATCTCTCCTTACTTCATAATTGTGTTTCCCCTCCCTTTCGTATTACTGTTAATGCTACTAATAGGTTTGGTATGTCTGTTATATGTGTTGGGTCTATCCTACCGTCTGCTATGTCTACTGTCTCTATTCCATCAGTCTTACATCTTCCTCAATTATCTACTAGCTTATTATTAATCAGTCAGCTTGATGCCTCCGATTTTGATGTTATCTTTTATTCTCTCTCGAATGTCCAAGAAGTAGATTGGGATTGGTCGTAGAGTTAGAGACCTCTATGTGGTGGAGGAGCTTGCATTTGCTTATGACTACCTCTCCAGTTGCCTTGTCCTCTTTTCAGTTAGATTCTTTGTCAAGTTCTTTCAATTTGTGGCATTCAAGATTAGGACATTTATCTGCTGACTGCTTACGACCTTTGGCCCAGTATGGTATATTGGATAAAGTTTCTCCCAGCCAACTTACCAAGTGTTGGGGGTGTAAACTTGCCAAAATGACAGTCTTACCTTTCCGTAAAAGTACTTCTATATCTGATACACCGTTTTCTTTAATTCATACTAATGTCTGAGGTCCTTCTCCTATTCTCACTACAGGGGACTCTACATATTATGTTTCATTTGTTGATGACTGCACTCATTACACTAAGGTTTACCTTATGACTCATAAGTCTGACTTCTACCAGATATACTTTACTTTTCAATCTATGGCCACTACTCAGTTTGGATCTACTATTAAATTATTACGATCTGACTTGGATAGGGAATACTTTAAAACTGAGTTCTGTAAATATTTGGCCAATTTGAATACCATTCACCAAACTTCCTATACTGATATACCCTACCCAAAATGGTCGAGCTGAGCGTAAATACCGTCATCTCCTTGAGATAGCTTGGTCTCTCCTCTCTACCTCCGTTCTGGCTTCGTAGGGGTGAGGTAGTTCTTACTGCTACTTTTCTTCTCAACCATATGCCTACTGCCCTTCTCTCTAGTCAGTCTCCTTATGAGGCTCTGTTTTCTCAACTTCCTAATTACTCCCTCCTTCGTGTGTTTGGATCTGCTTGTTTTGTCATTTTATCCCGTAAAGATAAAACCAAACTTAGTGCCCGGTCTATCCTATGCGTCTTTTTGGGTTACAACCTCACTCAAAAAGGTTATCACTATTATGATCCTGTTTTTCGTTGCCTTTATGTCTCTCGTCATGTTGCCTTTCTCGAACGTCTACCCTACTTTCAACTTCCTTCTCTCACAGCCCCAGTTTCCAAATAAGATCTTCTGAGGTCCCTCTTAATGAGTACATCTCTACTGTTTCCCATGAGTTTGTCCCTTCTTCTCCTTGTATCACCCCTCCTAATGAGTCCCTTTCTACTGAACCCCATGAGTCTGTTCTCTCTTCTCCTCCTCCTCCTCTTCCTCCTCCTCCTCTTCCTCTTCCTCCTCCCCCTTCTCCGTTGTTAGTCTATCTTATCGCAAGGCTATCCCTCCACCAGTTGTATCTACCTCTACTGCTGATCCTCCTACTTCTAATGACTCTGATCTTGCTAACCGTAAGTATACCCTCCGCATCCGTAAACAAGTAGTCAAACTTGGTTTCGCTAAAACATGTTTTTCTGCTTCATACTGTACGTTTTTGTCTGCCATTCACTCTTTTTTAGAACCTCAGTTTTACAAGGAGGCCTATTAGGATCCTCATTGAATTCAAACTATGGAGGATGAGTTGTCTGCTTTACAGAAAACTAGTACTTGGGAGTTGGTTCCTTCGCCCGCTGATAACAATCTGGTTGGTTGCAAATAGGTCTACAAAGTCGAGACTCATTTTGACGGTTCTCTTGAGCACTACAAGGCTAGGGTTTTTCACAGGAGTATGGTATTGATTATGAGATCTTTGCCCCTGTTGCCAAGATGACTATTGTTCGTACTTTGATTTCTGTCGCTGCTATTCGTCATTGGCCTCTTTATCAAATGGATGTTAAGAATGCTTTTCTTAATGGTCATCTCGCTGAGAAGGTTTACATACGTCCTCCCCCTAGCCTTCACCATTCCTCTAGACAGGTTTGTCGTCTTCAGTGTGCTTTGTATGGTCTAAAGCAATCTCCCCGTGCTTGGTATGATCGCTTTCAGACTACTGTTACTAAGCTTGGGTTTCATCCTCTTGCCTAGGACTCTGCGTTGTTTCTCCTTCACACCTCTGCTGGTTTTGTTGCCTTATTACTATATGTGGATGATATGATTATTACTGACTCTGATTCTTCTGTTATCTCTAAAGTCAAGCAACATCTCTTCTGCACCTTCAAAATAAAGGATTTGGGCCCATTGCGGTACTTTTTTGGTATTGAGGTGGCTTCTTCTCCCAATGACTACTTTTTGTCTCAGGCCAAGTATGCTAATGAGGTCATTCACCGTACTGGTCTTATTGACACTAAGATTACTGATACCCCCATTGAGCTTAATGTGAAGCTTAACACTATTGATAATGTTTCTTTGAATGATCCTACTTTATATTGAGAGCTTGTGAGTTGCTTAGTCTATTTGACGGTTACTCGCCCTGCTCTTGCCTATGCTGTTCATGTGGTTAGTTAGTTCATTTCTGCTCCTCGTTCTACGCATTGGGTTGCTTTGGTTCGAATTCTTCGTTATCTCCGGGATACTATATTTCAAGGTTTACTGTTGTCTTCTACTTCCTTTTTGGACTTAGTAGCTTATGCTGATTCTGATTAGGCTGGTGATGTCACTAATAGCAAGTCCACTTCTGGCTTCTACATGTTTCTTGGCAATTCCTTGATTTCTTGGAAGAGCAAGAAACAGACTATTGTTGCTTGTTCTACCGCCGAGGCTAAGTACCGTGCTATGGCTCATGCCACTGCTGAGATTGTTTGGCTTCATTGTCTTTTGACTGATTTGGGTGTCCCTCAATCTTCTCCGACTTTCCTTTACTGTGACAACCGCAGTGTTATTCAAATTGCCCATAACAGTGTCTTCCATGAGCGGACGAAGCATATTGAGACTGATTGTCATTTTGTTCGTCAGCATCTGTAGTATGGCTCCATCTCGTTTCCTTTCATCTCTTCGGCATTGCAACTTACTGATTTCTTTACCAAGACTCAAACACTGCTCGATTTCAGTTTCTTTTTGGCAAACTCTCAGTATTTTCTACTAAAACACCTTGAGTTTGAGCGGGGGTGTGAAAATATTATATTAATTATGGAACTATTTTAGATTGATTGTGTGAATATTAGATTGATTGTATAAGGTTATTCTTATTTCCTTTTTAGATTAGGTCTAGTATTGCTATATATATCGGTTGTACACTTTATATTATACACAATTGAATATATAGAACATATTCAGAAAACTTACAGATCTACTACGAATGATATTTTTCTAATTATGCTATTGATAGAAAATATAAGAAAAATGGAAAGACCCTCACATGGTATAAATATTGACTTTGGAGAAGCATATGACAAGATTCTTAAAGACATAATGTGGATGGTTTTAGGAAAATAAAGGAGTATAAATAAGATACATAGATGTTATTAATGACACGTAAAATAGAGTTGTGCCTTGCATGAAAATAGTGGGGTAGAAATAAATGGATTCCCAACAACAACAGATTTAAACCAAGGATTAGCACCAAATCCTTACCTTTCTTGCAATAGATGCCAAATTCAAAAGGGTGACCATGGCTATGTTGTTAGCTAACAATGTAGTTTTGATTGACAAAACTAGAGTACGAGTGACTAAGATAGAATATAGCATAACTAGAGATCGGAAAGAGAATGGCAAAAAAAACAAATTTGATGGACGAAAGAGTAAGAATTTTTGATATTTTAGATCAATTATCCGAAAGGGGAGATTGACTTAGAATAGGATGGATGAAATAAAAAAGTGTTTGAAGAGTGTTGTGTCACATGGAATTCCGAATAAGGACTAATCACCTCAAATTCTGTAGTCCCCACCACAGGCAGTAACAGTATTTGGAAAGGAACTCTGTGGATGAAACAATGCCAGACGACAAGGCCTGTTTGAAGATTCCAAAATCAAATGGCGGATTATCAACAGTTACAGAGCAAGCAGAACTAAGAACTGAATAACTGACGTCCTTCCAATCACCGTAACCTGCCATGTTCTGGTTGCCACAATACAAGAAATCCGTATCACATAGACGATTACTTTTACAAGCCTTCTGCCAGCACGTATCATTACGTTCTACAGATAATAAGTACCAGAATGCTCCAACTATCTGCAAAAGTTCCATTCAACAGAGAAGAAAATGTTAATCATTTTTTATTGCAGAATGAATGGCTGACGATATGGAGAAATTATAAATAAACATGCGGGGGAAGAAAGAGCAACAAGTGAGGCATTGAAAAAACCCTAAGTTATAATAATATAGAATTGTACTTTTGTAGCCAAGCCAGAGGGGAGACGTTTATAACATCCTAGGATTTTTGTTAGAATTTACCTACACCTACCACCACCTACTACCACACCTACTACACCTACCACCAATTTACCCTCACCTACTCCTCACCTACTACCCAAACCCTCTCCTATATAATGAGCCACTCTGATTTGTAATATAAGAAATCAATCTATCAATCAATCAATAATACATAAATTTTTTTTACAATTTTTGTCAACTTGTGTCAACGTATTGACTCTCCTATCAAAAAGTGCAAGTGAGAGGCTGAAATCTAAAGGAATGGTATAACATCCTGGGACTTTTTATCAATGAATGGAATCATATCTAAAAGAGCATCCAAACCTGCTAGCTCAATAGCATCACAATCATGTGTCGATAGAATCCATGGACAATGTCCTACTATCATCATGTGTTGGATTGAAGTAGGGACTAGAGATTTTAATCAGCAACTAAACCCAAACCCAAACTTAGTCCTAACCAAACCAAGTGGTGGAGACCGTGGAGGTTGATGATAGAAGTGTTTTCTTACTTGGGCAATTAACATAACATGGCACAGTAAGGTGAAAGACATGATACAGTCTCTACAACTAAGAGAAAGTCATGATATGATCTCTCTAAATAATATAAAGCAAAGGAGCTCACGGGTGACATATTGATGTGATAATGTACAATTATGATAAATATATACAACTGCTGCTACATTAAACTGGACAAAAGACAATTCAGTTTCCAATAATTGTGGAGTCAGATCAGGGGTCATCAGTAAGAAATTCATGTTCCCAACAAGAAAATGCCAAATTTTAATTGCAACAAAGCCTGGCGTAGGAAATTCATGCTACAAACAGACAATAAAATAAAACGAACATAATTAGAAACAAACATGTTTTGGAGATATTTCACGTGTTAAACACAAAAGGAATGGAAAATATAAATAATAATGAATCATAACAATGAAATAAAACCTCCTGACTAGAAGAGTTTCTTACATGACTAGCAAGCATGTATAATAGCAAATAGTATACAGCACCAGCCCATGCAGTTTCAGCAATGACACCAGCAGTCCTTTTCAATTCGGAAGCTAAAGGTAGGATTCGGACAAATCGAGGAATATACTGAATGAAGATAATGTAAAGCAAAGCTCGTTTTGTAGCCAGTACATCTGAACCCTCAGATCTCTGCAGAAACCTCCAGACCACAATCTGCAAAAATTGAAAAATAATGATAAACTACTCCTAACAACTTGATATACCGCAACTCTGTTACTAACATGCAACAACACCGATATAACTAAATTTAATGCAGCCTTTATACATATATATATATATTTTTTTTTCAAAAGCCTTTATACATAATTCACTGGAGTCCTGTGTGAGCAGTGAACTTGTATATGATATCCATATTATTAATCAAATAACTTTAATGCTAAATGTTTCAATCTACAAATGTTGATGCCTGTTTCTGTAAGTATTGAACCTGAAGCATGCAGAAATTACTCAACCAGTTCCATTCAATTTGAAGAATACCAAGATTAATGACAAAAAATAAAAAATAATTCCTCAAGCCAAAAGTTTCCCATATAATTATAATTAGCTATCTTCATTATGATAATTCATTCTCATTGACATCTCAGCATCACGAGAAATCTAGACGACTAGTATTCCCGAAGAAGGTCTATAATTGTTTATTATATATATATATTTAAAATCAATAGAGTTACTTCCTTTTAATATTTTTTGATGTTTTAGTGTGTACTATTTCTTGGAAATGCATTAGGATGGAAGTTTCAGCGAAAAAAAAAAGATTTTTGACAAAGCAATAGATTGACCATACTAGATATGCTGGCCTGAAAAATAATGGGAAGACAGCATCAACAAAATTTCTTCAACACACTATAGCTGCTAGCAAAGAAATTTTCAGAAAGCTTGTAAAAACAATGAGTGATCAAAGAACTAACAAAACTTCATTTAACAAAATCCAGCTGGTTGTCTTCATTTATTGGTTTTTATAAGGCCAGGCCATCACAGAGGTGCTTCAATTCAACTAACAATTTTTATTGTCAAATAGTTTTTCCCCTTTTTTGGGTAAGAATTCTGTGTTTAATAAAGAACAAGGAGGTGTAACTATTCTGTGAGCAATTAACAAGTGAAAATAAATCATTCACGCATGGATCAGTGAAATAGGTATTAACGAAAAGACAATTTTGAAAGAAGTAGGAATTCACTTTGAGTAGAAATACAAAAAATATCTGCAACTGAAATTTTTTATTTATTTTTTTCTTCCAGAAAATGCTATATCCCCTGTTGATAGGATACTTCAATAGACTTCAATGAATCATTCATGCATGCATGCATTAATTCAATAGGTATTACTGAAGATAATATTCAAAGAAGTAGGAAGTCACTTTGAGTAGAAAAACAAAACTATCCCCAACTGAACTGCATTTTCTTCCAGAAAATGCTATAGCAGCACCTGTTGCTAGGATATTTCGATAGACTTCAACAAATTGTTCATGCATGCATCAATTCAATAGGTATTAATGAAAAGACAATATTGAAAAAAGTAGGAATTCACTTTCAGTAGGAGAAAAAAAAAATCTGCAACTGAAACTTTTTTATTTCTTTTTCTTTTTTTTTTTTTTTTTCCTCCACAAAATGATATAGCACCTGTCGGTAGAATACTTCAATAAACTTCAAAAATCTGTGATTATGGCATGCTCTACTTAGTTGACCATATGATCCAAGCATTGTGCTACTATGATACATTGATCCTTTTTTATAGCAGTATTTTCTTTCTTTCTTTATTTATTTATTTATTTATTTTTTGTATTAGTATTGTATAGGAAAAAGATCTCCAAAAGGAGTGCAACCTTTGTACAAAAAATATACGCAAAGTCAAAAAAAGCCCAACACGAAAATTGAGCTCATTAATAAATTTGCAATAAACTCAATATCATGATTCAAGGTTCATGAGATTGAAAAAATATATAATGGTCTTGTTGATTTGAAACAAACTATAGTCCACTATGTCAATTAGAGTTTGAACCCACAAATCAAAAATTTTACTGCTCTAATATTAAACTTATTTATTTGGTTGCTATAAGGTTCTTAAATATATTTTTTTTGAAAGAGAAAAAAAAAAATAGCAAAGTAATTATATTATTTAAGAAGGAAAAGTTAAAAAAAGAGGAGAAGGAGAAGGAGAGGAGAGGAGAGGAGAGGAGAAGAGAAGAGAAGAAAAATTAGGGAATGTCCTACACTCTAAAGTGCTTGGAGCACAACTAATACACAGGAAAGTAAGAGAGAGAAATGAAGAAGGAAGAGAGAAAAACTTGATGTTAATAAGTTCAAGCTTACCCACCACCAAAAAAAAAAAAAATTTGCCTCTCTACATTTTATCAATGAGAGAAGACTTTACTTGTTACCCCTTTAGGGACCCAGTGAGGGTAAAACAGCAAAGCTCTTCCAAAATTTATTTTGAAGTTTCTTCACTTCAATGCAATCTCCATTTACAAGATCCAAATAACAGAGTTTGCATCAAGTTGGGCTTCAAAGATTTTGGGCCATGGAAAATATTGCTTTATTATCATATGACTAAGCCACCAATCTAGTAAGATCCAAGACAATGCCTTGAACCAGTGTAATAGGAAATTCATATATCAGTGAAATGTGGCAAGGTTACCCCAAAATTCTGACAATAGTATCTGTTCCTTCTGCCCATTAAAGTGACAAGAACCACTAGCTTAAAGGCACTCATGCGCAAGCAAAAGTTTATCGATAAGAAATTCACAATTTTGCAGAAATACAAATAGAGAACATTATAGATATTGGATGAAGTGTAAAATATTTGGGGACAACAACAAAAATGAATGGAATACAAAGCACACTCATAGCTATCCCTAACTTGTAGGACATGCATAGATGTATAAGGCTCAATATCTATCACATACAAACTATATTTATCCCAAAATCCAACATTAATATTGAACAAATTCAAATAAAGGCACCCAGGACATGTGACATATCTCGGACATAGCCTAACATGTTTGAGAAAATACAAGGACTAAAACATTTAGAGTATGTTTGGTACAAAGGAATGGAATGGAATGTCCATTCCCATTCCATTGTTTGGTTGCCAACATGCAATGACATAGGAATAGAATGATAATTCTCATTCTCATGTTTGGCTATGCCTATTAAACTAATCGAAAAATAAATTTTTATTTTTATTTTTATTTTTTTAAATAAGCTAGTAATAAGTAAGTTAAAAAAATCATATAGATCATGATACCCTGAAAGGATAAAAAAATAAAAGCAAAAATAGAAAATAGAAAAACTCTAGACCTGTGGTAGGGGAAGAATAGCAAGAAAATCGATGATAAAATAGCTCCGTAGGTATCGCTTAGCTATTTTCGCAGGATCTATAACAAGTTCGCCTCGTCCAAAAACCCGAGATGATGGGGCAATGTAAGCTGTTCGGAATTGCAGTGCTATGTGGAGAAGGTAGAAAGCATCGATTATTGTTCGGAGTGACGTAGCCGTGCTTGCTAACTTTCGATCTATACCTAGACAGGCTGAGGACTGATAAATTACTGGAAGATAATAAAACAAAGGATCCACAAATACTGCCAGAATGCAAGATCCGACAAAAAGTTTATTCCACAACTGAAGTAATTTATCTTGAGGATCAAATATCTTCTTCTCTGACACCTCAAGATCTTCTGGAAACACTGCCCGAGAAACCCCAAATCTAAGTGATCGACCAATTGACTTGAGTCCCTCAGATCCTCTTCTAACTCCTCTCTTGAAAGACCTTGAAGGGGTATTAGCTGCATGACGGGGACGCGATAGGCCCTCAATGCCAAGTCCACATTTGTTCATTCCAACTGAAGTAGAAGGTGATGATAATCTAGAATCCAAATCATCCAACCTAAAAATGTAAAAACCAACATACAAAATATTAGATGCCAGTTCCTGAAGCACTCAATAAACAATTCATGTGCCATTAGGAAACAACGGCCCTCAGTGTTTTCATTGATAGCAGGAGAGAACACAAAAGTTGTCAACACTAAAATATGAAAACCAGAGCAAGCAATTTTTCTTTCATAATATGTCCAGTCAATAAGATACCTAGGCAACTTACTTGGATCATCAATAAATTAATGAAGGAAGTGTTTGTCAATTTTCTATGTAGTAAATACACATCTAGGAAGCACGGATACGGGATACGGGATACGGATACGACACGATACGGACACGGCGATACGGCAAAATTCGAAAAAGTAGGATACGGATACGGCGGGGATACGTTCATAAAAAATATTTTTTTCCACAATTTTTAGTAATGTAGAATACACAAAAATAAAACTTCAACAATTTTTAGTAATTTATTTATTTATTTGTTTTAACCCTAAAGTTTATTTATTTATTTGTTTTATAAGTAATTTGAATAATTTTTAATAACTTTATTTCATTTATTTATTTGTTTTATAAGTAATTCATAAGTTTATTTATTTATTTATTTCATTTATTTCATTTATTTTTTTTTAGAGGGATATATATTTATTTCATTTATTTGATTTTATTTACAGAGTAACTAACTACACATAAAAAAATTAAAAATAAATAAATAAATAAATATGTAAACACAGACACGACGAAACAGGGGTAAACAAAAAATGGTCTCTCTCTCTCGATTAAACACAGAGACGAGACGACGAGATACAGATCGACCAAAAAACAGATCGATCGAGAGGACGAAACAGATCGAGATTATGGTATACAGAGATCGACGAAACACAGATCGACAGAGATCGATGCAAGCAAACAAACAGAGGGAGCGAAAGGGAGAGAGAGATCGACGAACCTGATCGAGAGAGAGGGACGACCGTCGAGCTGCTGTTCGAGATCGACTGAGAGGCAGATCGGTGGACTCCTCCTCTCCTTCGCGGGTGCTGTTCGAATTCGACCTAGAAGGTAAGTTAGATTATAATTTTTTTTGTTTTTGTTTTTTATTTGATTTAATTTTCATATTTTACATTTTGGCCCCATTTTAAGTTTTTTAAATTATTTTTTTGCCACCGCCGTATCCATACCGTATCACGCCCGTATCCTGACCGTATCCTCCCGTATCCGAGACGTATCCGAAATTCAAAAATTTTAAAAAAAAATCGGATACTCTATTTCCCGTATCCGATACGTATCCTCGCGTATCGGGCGCGTATCCGTATCCGATACGTATCCGATACGCATACGTGGCCTATTTTGGAGTATCTGTGCTTCATAGATACACATTCACCAACATTTCTAATGGTTGTAAGTGGCGAGACACCAGTACATTAATGGTGAATATGATGCATGCCTTGTTTGGGGTACTCTAAAAAAGCCAAAAAGTCAAAAAGTCACTATCTTATTTAAGTCATATCACCTCTCTACCACATCACTTCAAACTTAACCCATATTTCATAAAAAGTCAAAAAGTGCACTTATTTATATCATCCCAAACCATCCTATAGTTGCAAAGTCCTGTTAGCATTAATTCATACCCTCGTTCCCCCTTGTTTGTCCTGGAGTTCTCTTAGTAAAATGGTAACAAAGACGGTTTAAGTGGTTAGACTTGCTTTAAGGCTGTCTAGGGTTGACCGTTGAGAGTGAACTTTCTAGTTAGAGAGTCCGAGTTAAGACCAGTAATCAAGTCTCCAGGAGATCAGTCAAAAGACTTGAACTATGTCTGACTTTGTAAATCACCTAAATTTAGGGGACTGGATCAGTTCAACCACCTCTATTTTTGCATAGCATGCACTGCACTCACTTTATTCTCCTTCCATCTAAAAATACATTTTTTCCTCATATTATTGCTTTAGCTCAATTTGATTGTATGATTTAATTTCATATAGCCAGCTAACAAAAAGAATGTCCCCAGCAAGGATACAAATCTATTCAACAAAGAGTTTAGGAAAGCAATAGTACCTTAGGATTAGATAAAAGAAAAGGAAAAAAGGCACCCATCTAACTCTTTTTTCTTTTCGTTTTTTTTTTATTTTTTCTCGCTTTGTTTCTTTTGTGCTTTATAATGAGCAAAACAAAGAATGCTTCATCGTTGACATCCAACCCTACCTCCATATAAGAATACAATCCAACTTGATCAGATAACTCAATGCAATTCCCCAACTCCATTAATTAGATAACGAAAACCTTATAAACATCAAACACTTGAATTCAGAATCCTTTTTCTTCATGAAACTACTTATTAGACAGCAAAAATAAGTACATGAAATCATAAAATTGGCCCAAAGAACATGTCGATGTAGCACTGAATCTAGAGGCCCTGCAAAATTCACTATTGTATAAAAAGCCGGCAAAATAACAAACCTTACAAACTTCTCTTGTTGGCCGCCCAAAATTTGTGATTTCGAACCACAATCGAACATTTTGTGCAAATAATTACATAAATACCAGCTGCATGCACCAAAAAGGCGAAAGTTAAGGACTATCTAAATGGTAATAGAAAATCAATGTAGTCAACTTTATGGCAAGAAAACTCTCTATCTCTCCCTCTCTCAAGAATGGTATTTAAACATATCAATACTCCCTCCGTCCCAAAATATTAGTCCCTCATTCCATTTTTCATTGTCCCAAAATATAAGTCCCTTTTCAAAAATCAAGGACTCAAATACTATAAATTTTCTATTTTGCCCTTCTTTTAAATTCATTAACAATATAAAAAATACAATTATGACAATTGATATTCCCAAAAAAATGTACTATCAAAGGGTAATTTTGAAAAACTAATATTTTTAAAGTACAATAATTGCACTACAAAAAAAAGTTGGATTTCCCAAAAGGGACTATTATTTTGGACCGGAGGGAGTACAGTATATTGCCTATGTAGTTTTCCAGCCAGGCAGTTAAGCTAACGTTTGTATTGACAAACCATCAAAAAGTTGTTCATAATGAGAATAATGGCTTAAGCATAAAATCTCTCGACAAAATGAATCATAAAATAATAAAGCAACTAATTTATCCAAATTTCAGGATTCAAATGTAGAGTGCATGATAAATGTTTACGCAACTGTCCTAATAATGTTGAATGACCCAATAACTTGAATCTGCTGGTTGAGAAAGAGAGTTTTCAAATTTGTAAAGCAAGTTCAAGAGGATCCATCTAACTAGAACATCATCGCATGTTTGCAGTGGTTGAGCTCAATACCATTTTATGCTTGCATTTAAAACCAATACTTGTCAACTTTCCTACTCCACATACTTTCAGACAGAAAAAAGATGGACAGATTGTTAGTCCAAGTTGCTTCTACAGTACACTAAAAGGTATACTCTGATAATTTCATAATACAGTACAAAATTTGAAATAAATGACTATTTCATGGTTGGATTAGCAACAATAGGGCAATGCACACTATGTAGGATGGCATATATAAGTTTTACTTCACGTAACAGCATAGAAAAGCTCCAAATATGAACCCACAAGAGTTTGCATCAACCACAAACCCCTCATGTGAACCCCACACCCCTACCACCTATGCAAGAATCACAATACTTCCAAAATGCCCATCACACTACCAGAGAAAACCAATCATTGGAAATAGGAAAAAAATACACTTCCATGCATTGGAAAATACAAATATGTAGCTAAGCAGCAGTAGCATAGGCAACACTTGGCAAATAAAATGAAAAGTGGATATCATCCTGAAATCATTTTATTGGGTCGTCATCATCATCATCATCATAATAATAATAATAATAATAATAATAATAATAATAATAAACTACCAATAGATCCTAATAGTTGAACTTCATTCCCATCAAGTCCTATTGAAAATAAATCTTAGCAAAATCGTCACTAAAAATAATTTTTTGTGATGATTTTTTTGCAGATGTTGCTAAAAATGGACAATTGGTGACTTTTCTTTGTCACAGTTTTTATAAATTGTCACTAAAATTTACAACCAGTGACTTTTTCTGTGTCAAAATTTTCAAACTGTCACTGAAAGTTAAAAATTAATGACTTTTTTTGTGATGATTTTTTTAAACTGGCACTAAAACTTATACTTAGTGACATTTTTTATGATAACTTTCAAACTATTGCTGAAAATTAACAATTAGTGACGTTCATTAATAGTGTTTGATAAAAAATCCCATTAATTATCAAAAGACTTATTGGACAAAAAGTCCACCTAGTAGGACTCACATGTAAGTCCCCTAATAATAATAACAAAAACAAAAACAAAAACAAAAAGTGACCCAAAATTTTCTATTTGCAATTTGCATTAGTTGAAGGTGATTGTGTGTCTGCTGGTTCAGGTTGTGTTATCTTTATAGCATTTCTTGGCAGTCAATTTGACACCTCAAATCCTACTTAATTAGTTAATTTGTTTGATGTTATAACTTACAAACCCTCTCTTTTTTCTTTTTTTTTTCGTTTTTTTGTCCTTGGTACTTAGTCATAGTAAAATCTACTACCCATTTTATTTGATGGTTTTGTTCTCTAAATCAATCCATTATTACAAGCATTAAGATCAATGGTTGAGCCACCTTAGGCTTAGCCGGGTCAGCTGCCCCTCTCAAATTTTCGAAACATCTATTTTACCCATCATTATAATAAATTTTTTATCCAATTGTCCCCCTCCGAAATTTCATATTAATATATCATATATGTCCCCTAAATGTTTATAACTCCTGTCTTTTCTTTTTTTAACAAAATTCTTGTAATTTTCCTATTTAGATGTTTTATTTTGCTAAAAAAAATCTCTTTTATATTATTACCATGTATCTCTGTTCTTTGGTCTCAATTTGCAATATATTTTTTTTGTGATGGGGCTGCCTTTGAATTGTCTGTTACAATCTACAAATGTCTGTTGAAATAAATTTGTTAACATGTTTAATTGCTATTTTTTTTCTTCTTAAAATTGGTTTGTTTGTTAATTTGATATTTAAATGTAATGATATATGCATAGTGCCTTGATAGACAACACAAAACTCGAGCGTAAGCATCCAATTGAGAATTAGCCACAAAATGGGAGTTCTAGCGTGACGTCACAACATAGCATGAATGCGTCCAGAGATGCAAACCATGACCTAGGGTGTAACCATTATGACTTCATAAATGACACAAAACTTGAATGCGAGCATCCAATTGAGAATTAGCCACACACAAACGAAAAAAGAAAAAGGAAAAAGGGGAGTTCTCAATTATGGGCTTTTAGAGCATGACGTCACAACATGGCATGAATGCGTCCGAAGATGCAAACTGTCACCTAGGGTGTCACCGTTGTGAATTGATTGAAGCCACAAAACTCAAACATGAGCATCCAACTAAAAATTAGCCAAAATTCGCGAGTTCTCATTTATGGGCTTTTAGAGCGTGACGTCACAACATGGCACGAATGCATCCACAGGCGCAAACCGTAGGGTGTGACTATTATGACTTGATAGATGACACAAAGCTTGAATGCTAGCATCCATCCAATTGAGAATTAGCCAAAAAACTGGAGTTTTCAATTATGGGCTTTTAGCACGTGACGTCACATCATACATGGAGGTGATATTTTTTTGAGAAATAATATTCAGACTCAACTTTTACCCTCCCACACTCCATTTTTTGTCTTTTAGCCCCTCACAAGGGGAGAGTAAGAAGATAAAAGGGGGATTCTATTTACACCACACTTTTGTCACATTACAATCCCAATTTCTTATTGCGTGCTGCTATTAGCACTTGCCAAAATTCTTAAGACCCCCCATTCATAATTTTTTATTTATTACAATTATACTCTAAAGTAAAATTACATTCATAGACATTATTAAATGGAACACTCACCTATCAAATAAGAACTAATAATCTATAATATTTGACACCCACCCCCACTCTCACCTCCACCTCTACCTCCACCTCCAACTATATATATTTCATGTTGGTTGTAAACCCTAAACCTGTTACTCTTCATAACCAACCAACATAAACCCTAAATATATTATTTTTCATAATCATCTTAAACCCTAAATGTGTCATCTTCATCACCATATCAATCTTATTGAACCAGAAATTTTGCTTCAAGTATAACGTATACTTCATCACTTATTTGACCGTGTAGAGCAATGGAGGACAAGGACAACAATTCTAATGAGACCGGCGTTTCATTAGCGGTGTTTGGGAACTTCAGTTTTAGATTTTTTTTTTTTTTTTACTACAAGACAAATGTTTTACAAAATCAAAAAAAATAAATCTAAACAAAATATCACATCAAACACCATAATCATTTCACTTTTTCTCTCACAAACATCACATCCAACCACAAAAAAACCCAACTATCTTCCCAAACACAAAAAAAAATTTCTCCAACAATATACTACAACTAAAAAAACCTACAAAAAAATCCACTTCCTAAACACCCACATTAATAAGTTTATCTATCTTGCATTAACATTCTCAGTTGTTTTCAGTCGTTCTTTTTTTGTTCGAGCTGTTCGATACTGGTTTGCCGACTTTTAGGATTATGTTTAGTAATACAGTAATGAACATAACCCTTTCGTTCAATACTTAGGTTCCGAACATTAATGCAGATAGTCATCACTGTTGAACCGAATATTATCTTTATTTTTTGCACTATTGAACTAAACAGAGGAGACGGAAAAAAAAAAACAAATGAGATGAAACAGCAGCACTTTGTAAGGGGGGAAAAAAACAGCAATGAAACAGCAGCATTGAAATGGGTAGATTAGGTCGATGCAGAGGAGATGAAACAGAGGAGACGAACGGTCAAGTAACAGGAAAGAAAAGGGTATGAAAAATTGGGTGGGTGTGCATTTGATTGTAAAAATATTATGAATATGAGTAGATTTGGTAATAAATGGAGATGTCCAAAAAAATATTATTAAAATTTAGGACTTAGGGCGGGGGTCCAAAGAATTTTGACAGGTGCTACTAGCAACACTCTTTTCTATTTTCTTATTACAATATTACCCTTAACTAAAATTACCAATAAAACTCAAAACCTTAAAACACATAAACCCTAATTTCTCAACCCACTCACCCCTTCACCACGATCTCCACCGGTCACTACCACTACCCTATCACTACCTCCCAACTCCATCATTGGCGCCACCATTTCCTACCAGTGCCACCCCCAAACCTCCTCCCCTATTCTGCCACCAACTCCCGGCCTACTCTTCGCCAGCCTACCACCCCATCCACCTTCGCACACCCCTAGAAAACTCTGGCCCCTCCTCTTTTGTAACCCTAGATCTAAGAGAGAGAGAGAGAGATTACAGTGGTGAAGGGGCTGGGGAGGAGGCTCACGGTGGTGAGGGGTGCCAGAAGGGGATTGTGGAGGTAGATAGGGTCACCAAAGAAGGATAGGGTAGGGGGCTGGGGCTGTAGATTGCAGTGAGGGAGGGGCTAGGGTTGGTGGTCGGAGGTGGTTGGGGGCGGTGTAGGGCAGGGTTGGATTTTAAAAGGTTAAAGGTGTGAAATTGAGAGTACGTTTGGTATTATGGTTAATGTAATGAGATAAAATCAAAATTTTAAAATTTTGTGTGTGGTGTAACTAAAAATTATGTGTAATGAGGTGGTTTTGTGGTGTAAATAGAATCACACAGGCTAAAAATAGAGTGTAAACACCATTTTCCTAATATTGCCCTCTCTGCCACTTATTACAATCCACATATAAGTATTTTTATTTTTGTTAATTAAAGATGTAACTCTTTGGCTTAATATTTCCCCCCATCTGCCACTTATTACAATCCAAATATCTAATAGCAATTTAACATCCCTCATAGACAATCATAAAAATCCTAATAATCCAGATCCAACACTCAAATTCAACCTCTTTCACAATTTACAAAAAAACCCAAATTGAGTCCATATCTCATTCAAACAAAGCATAGAAAAATGATCTAACAATTTTCCACTATGTTGTGTGGCATTAAATTCATGAAAAAATAAAAACTAACACCAACTAAAAATTCAAGCCTCCAATACAATACATAAATAAATCAATCAATCAAATATACTCACAGAAATCAAACTTTGCCATAACAACACATTTATATATTGACGGTGATGTAAACAGAGAAGATCGGAGAGGCCAACTTACATAGAAATTCTTCAGATTAAACTTGCAAATTGTAATACAGGAAGTAAGCGAGGGAGAGAGAGAGAGAGAGAGAGAGAGAGATGAAAAAAGGGGTAAAATAGATTAGGTCCAAAAAAATATCTAGGAGGAGACTGGTGAGCTGAAGAAGATGTCACAAAGAACGAAGTTAGGACAATGACTACTGCGTCGACATCTTATTTTTGTCTTCGAGCTTTTTGTTTTCGAATTTTGTTTTTGATAAATTACACTTCTTGTTTTTGAATTTTGTTTTCGATAAAAAAAAAAAAAAAATACTTTAGACCGCTATTTCAACACCACTAATATATACACTAACGATGTGGCACTATATAGACTCTACTATTGTGATAGTTTGACCTTTATTTGTTTGTTTATTTATTTTTTATTCTTGCACTGAGCTGACATTAGTGCTGCTAATTTAGTAATCTGTATCGTCACGTTTGATAAATTACCCTTTTTGTTTTCGAATTTAGTTTTTGATAAATTACACTTTCAAACTATATCCATAATTTTTCCAAAGTCAGTTTCGAGTCTTGTTGCTTTCCTCTGTCTAATTTCTTTATATTGGTCTCATTTGATAGAATTATGGAAAAGTAATTATAAATTATAACTGAACAGATTATGGCTTATAGCTATAAACATAAGTTGTTAACCTGTTTTGTACAGCTGTGAGATTATGAATTTAAACAACAAAATAGCGTTTGGTTAATAAACTGTAAAATAACTTTTAACTGTATAATTGTCTTTTCTGCCCTTATATGATATAAAAATGATTATTTTGTCATTTTTTTCAGTTTTAATTTTTTAAAAAATTATTTCATTAATAAAAGTTAATATAATTAGTATTAATTAGTATCAATTAATATAAAAATATAAAAAATGATACATTTGATAAAAATGTAATGGAAATATTATTGTCACAATTTTTATCCATTATAAATTAATTAGTATCAATTAATGACTTAATTAGTCTCAATTAATACTAAAATTATTAATTAGTATAAATTGATATTAATAATTAATTTTTATTAGTATCAATTAATATTAATAATCAACAATTGTTATTAATTAGTATCAATTAATAATTAATTCATTACAAAAGTATACAATATTAGCCCCCACACCAGCTACGCGCTTAAGTCGAAAATTTAAGCATTCCCTGACCAGCTTTTAAGATAAGCTAAGAAATACCTTGATTTAAGTTATAAGCTGGTTAACTTAAGCTGCACCAAACACAATATTTTAACTTAAATTAAGCTGAAAGCTTAAATAAGCAGCTTTTAAGGGTGTTTGTTTCAGCTTTTCAGAACTAACTTATGGTTTTTAGCTTTGAACAAGTTATTTTGGACTATTTGGTTAAATTTATTTTAAACAGTTTCTGATTCTAACAGCTTATTTTAACTCAAAAAAGCTGATTCTGAGAAGCTGCTCACCATTTGCTTCTGATTATCAGCTTCTACTGTGGACGTGTTAATTTATGGTTATACTCTTAAATTTTTTTATTTTTTATTTTTTTTTAAAAATAGAAAAGACCTAAATGGACTATAGATTACTATTATTATTTTTTATGAGAAATGTAGACAAACAAAAAATAAAAATTAATTGAAAAAGCTATTTCACAGCTTATTTAACAAACACTACTTAGCAACTTAAATCTATAATCCAACAGCTACACCAAACAGATTAACAATTTCTGATTAAAGTCATAATCTATAATCTATTAAGTTATAATCTATAAGCTGTTTTAACAGCTACACCAAACGGGGCCAAACTCTACCAAACAGGTTTAGAGGTTATTTGGTAGATCTAAATAAGTATAATTTTTAATTTTTTTTATATAAAAAGTTAGAGAGTTGATATAATTTTAAAAAGATAAAAAGGTAAAAAAAATGTATTAATCTAGGAGATGCCAAACAACTTTTTATTTTTAGCACTACTTATTTTTATGTAGGTTTGTGTTGCTTAGTGGTAAAAAAGTTATTTCCTAAACTTAAGATTTTGGACAGGATGGTTGGTTTGATGATCAATGTAACTGTCCGTTAATATCTTGAAAGTGTTGATAAACGTCCATTTCGTTATAATCTACTAATATCGACGATTGAAAGGGAAAAAAAAACTTTTTTCAATTTAACCTCAAATGTTTCAAAGCTCAGGTTTGTCTCTGGTCCGATATACTATTGGGCCTGATGGAATCTGTCATTGGGCATGTTGGGCCTCATGGTATCTATATGTTTTAATAATATGAATTTTTATTTTGTCGAATTTTACGTGTAGATCATTCACATATAAAAATTAGATTGATATAATAATCATAATTGTATAATTTTGTTAGTGTAAATTATATTTACCTCCCTTGAGGTTTGCCTTAATTACAAATCCCTCCCTTGTAGTTTCAAAAATTACATAGACCTTCATTGTTTTTGAAAATAATAGTCAAATTTTCCTTTCCCGTTAAAAGAGCCTTAACGATGTTCACTTGACAGTAAAATTGACCATAATACCCTTCAACCACATTATGAAAAGACACAACTAACCCTTAATGTAAAAAATCCCTCTCATTCATTATTTCCTAGGATAAATTACACTTACCTCCCTTGAAGTTTAGCATAATTACAAGTACCTCCCTTTTATAATATTCTGAATAATTTTCTTTCCAAAAAAACAAAAATAAAAGCTTATAAAAAAAGAACAAATACTCAAGTAATCTAAACCCAAAGAAAAAATCTTATATGAATTTTTTTCTTTATAATTTTTTTAAATTTTTATTTCATTACATTAGTATGTAAAATAATATATATATATATATATATATAAACAGTGGTTGCATTTATTTTTATAATCATTTTATTTAATATTTTTTATTTTGTTAATGTGTTGTCTAAAAAATGTCTTTAAAAATAAATAAAATCAGTAGTTCAAAAATAATTTTTGTTTATGACACAATTTTTATTTTTATAATCATTTCATTTAATACTTAATTGTAAATAATTTTATTTAATTAGCTGTAAAGTGTTGTCTAAAAATATGCCTCAAAAATAATTTTTGTTTATGGCACAATTTTTATTTTTATAATCATTTAATAATTGTAAACATTTTTTATTCAGTTAATTTAGGCATTGGTAAAAAATAATTTGTAAATATTTAAAATTAATTATTCTTAAAATTATTAATTATTGAAATAAAATGTAAAAAACTCATTTTATAGTGATTTGAAGATATGAGATTTGGAGAATTTATTTAACAATGGGATTGGATTATGCATTGGTGGTTATCAATAACCCTACCTAGAAAGAGTTTCTATAAAGAGAGACAATGTAGAAAAACATATTTAAAAATATATATATAATATTTATTGAGAGGGTGATTTATGATCCGGTGTTGGGCTGAGGTATCGACCGAGCAAGTTGAGAGCCCAGCAGTGCATTGGGCCGAGATGATCGACTGTTCACCCAGAGATGGGCTACCAGAACTTGGGCCGGGCCCGAGTTTGGACTTGAGTGTATGCCGCCCGGACCGTAAATGGAATCCAGCTGCTCGGCTAGGAAGTGACCGGTCAGACCAGGATGCTCGGTCCGAGGATGGTCGAAACCAGACAGACCGAGAGGACCAGCGCCCGGAAAGGCGCGGTCAGCCGAGGTAGTTGATTGACCGGCGAGAGGGCCAACCAAAGGAGGAGCCCGGGCTAGGCTTTGCGAGATGCCGCTTAGCCCGGTCCTTCATGTGTTTGTCCGGCTAGGCGCATGGGTTTGAAGATGACATGGCCGAGGTAGAACAGCTCGGCTGCCGAGTTCCAGCTGTGAGGTCAAGCAGTTGAGGTTAGGTGGTGAATGGCATGGTTTATGCTGACAGATGGGATAGCAGAGCCACGTGTCAGGAGATGACTGGGAGTAGATATGGGGTTCAGAAGGTATAAAAGCATGCCTGCGCCCCCCATACGCGACACACGAACATATCTGTAAGGATTCTTACATTCAAACACTCTCTCCCTTCTCTTATTCCTCTAAGGTGTGTGCTAACTTGACCGTGCGGAGGGTTTTTCCGGCCACACACCGCCGGGATAGCTCATCGTTATTTGCTCGCAGGTGATCGATATCGACGGAGCTCGGAAGAAAGGAATACGGGCATGCCGGATATTTGCTCCCCGTACAATTGGCGCCGCTGTGGGAAATTTCTAGACAACAAACCTTTGTCTTCCAAGTTCATCTGATCGCCGTCCATGGCGACAACGACGATGTATCCGTTGTCCGCCATCAACGGAGCCACCCCGGGAAGTATACCCGAAGGAGAGAGGGACCCTCCTTGCCGTCCATCCAGATGGCAGACTTGGGGACGCCCACTGTAGAGGACATCGTCAGGAGACGCGCTGGGTAAGCGGCGGAAGAGTATGGGCGCTTCACGGAGTCCGGAGGTCACACCGCGGAGAGACTCCACGTCAAGCGATCTGGAGAGCAACGTTAATAGGACCAAGACGCTGTTTTATCAGGCGGATGGCGGCGGAGATGGAGGATCTTAAGCGGCATGTCAAAGGGAAAGGGGTAGCTGGAGTGGGAGACCACAGTGAGCGCACCCAACCCCGCCGTTCAGGCGGTCAGAGTCAGCAACGCACTCCGTCCATTTCTATTACTAGAAGTTACAAGGTTGGTGATTCCGACGTGCATGCAGAGAAGTCTAACGCGCAAGATAACACTTACCAGCCCTCACGTCCAGTGACGACGTCGAGGTATTCTTACTCCGCTCATTCAGAGGATTTGCGAGCGGTCTTAAAGGAGCGGGCTCGCCAGTGGGAAGCTCAGAGGATACCGGCGTTCTAGCGGTTATCCTACGGGGTTCACGCCAGCGAGGAGGTCGGAATGCCTCCACCCCGCCAAGCAGTGCCAATGTTTGAAGATACAGACCTGGCCAGGCTGAGTGCCACCCCATTTTCCCTGGAAATAGAAACAACGCCACTTCCGGCAGGCTTCCACCAGCCTAAGTTCACGCTCTACGACGGCAAAACCGATCCTTATATGCATGTGAGCCACTTCCGTCAGGTTATGGCCGGACATAGGCGAAATGACGGACTTATGTGCCTAATCTTCCCGTCCAGTTTAGGTGAGCTGGGCTTAAAGTGGTTTGAGAGGTTGCCGGAAGGGAGCATACAACGG